TTGGGTTATAAGTTCTACACCGTCAAGAAAAAAAATGTGGAGGCATTGCTGAAGGCTTGTTGACACAATTTTCTGGAAAAATTGATGTCATCAAGCATCCGTCCTAAGCTCTCAAACAGGCTTAAAAAGGGCTGGCCCTAAGGCCTGCACCCGGCCCGCCCCGCCCGGGCTTTTCCCGGCCCGCAAGCTGCCCGCGAGAAGAGCGGGCGGGCCTCGGGCGGCCCGGTATCTTTCTTCCAAAAAAAGAAAATGTTGGATTTTTTCCGTTTTTGAGTATCACCGCTCTATCATTTCCAATATATTGCACTTTATCTTGAAGTCTTTCTATTTATACTGCAAAGTTTGATACAATGGCATCAAAAAAGAAGAGAAACGCAAGCCCTCTACCCAGCTCGAAAACCAAGCAAACTCATCTCTCCAATTCAAAAGACTGTACTTCACAATCGACCATCGTTTTATCTGACGCAGATTCCGATACCTCACATCCTTGTATCAGCGTCAACGTACGATCAACCAGCTCCACTCGCCCCAACCTAACTAGTCAAAGTAACTCTAGAACCGGGAGCAAAACATCCTGGGTGTGGAGATACTTTAAGACTCAAACAACTGTCAATCCAATCACCAACAAAGACGAGGACAGGACCATTTGCACCTACGAACTTGAGCCTGGAAAGGAGTGTGGAAAGACTTACAAAGTTGATCCAACTCACAGTACAAAATCCATGAGTCGACACCTTCTCAAGCACGGCCTGGATGAAGAATCACATCTCGAAGAAGGAGCAGTTGACATGCGTAAGTACCTCAAAACTGGTCGAATTGCTCCAGTAAGTGCCTCAAACCTTTGTACATAGTTCCATTTCACATCTGATTTCCTGCTCCTTCTTTTCTATTTCATGAAAGAGTGACAAGCTTTCAAATTCAACCTTCCGGTCAGCGATCTTACGCCTCATCATCAATGAAGAGCTTCCTTTCTCGTTAGTCGAATCTGAGGAACTACGGAATGCGTTTATGCTAGTCAATCCAAACATTCAGCCTTATTTCTTTGGTCATACTACCTTTACCGATACCCTCAAGGCTCAGTTTATCAAAGGTCGACGCTTACTTAGTCATCGCCTCAAAGACATTACACACGTCAATTTTACTTGTGACGGCTGGAGTCAACATAACAAATCAATTCTCGGAGTGACAGCTCATTGGGTTTCCAAGGACTTCAAGTTGTGCAAGGCTATCATTGGAATGAAGTTGATTGATGGTCCGCATACCGGGGAAAATCTTTGCGAACACTTCATTGAAATATTGAAGATATACAAATTAGTCGATAAATTGTTTTGTATCACTGCTGATAACGCGTCTAACAACTTGGTCATGGCGAGAAAAGTGGAAGAACTAGTCCCTCAATTTCAAGCTGACAAACACCTCCTCGGATGTATCGCACATGTCATCAACCTAGTTGCTAAAGCTGGACTTCATGTGTTCTCTGAGAAATTAGGCGACAAAAATCCTTCTTTACCTCCTGCCCTCGCTGCTTGGCTACATCAAGACACTGATCGAATGTCCAGCGCTCTAAGCTGCCTGATTGGCTTTACCAATCATTTTGAGGCTTCTCCACAACGTGTGGAGTCTTTTTCTCTCCTTGTTAAGGGTATGCTCCCAGCGAAGGATCACGTTCGACTTATCCGACGAGTTGACACACGGTGGAACTCAGATTGTGAAGCTCATGAAAGGTCTTATCGACTCAAGGCTGCCATCGATTATCGCACAAAAAATGATCGTGAATATGCAAAATTTGCCCTCACTGAAAGTGAATGGGATTTGGTCGCCCATCTGGTTGCGTTTCTCACACCTCTTAACACAGCTACGAAGATACTATCTGGTTTCCAATACTCAACCACTGCCGATGCCGCACCAGTCTATCAATGGATCTTGGAAAAATTGGACAAGGTTTGTTTCCAAACCATCTCCAATATCCTTTACAACTTACTTACACTAATTTGTATCAAATTATTGTGTCCACAGGCCTGGCAAGGCAATGCAAACGAACCCCTTCAAGCAGCCATAGGACCTATGAGAACCAAGCTCCTACAATACCATGAATCTGCGCTTCGAAAACCTGTTTATCTGTTTGCTAACATCCTCGATCCCCAAAGTAAATTGCTTGAATTGTCAACATTAACCATTGAGATGGCTGGTCTGTACGACCAAGAGGACTTGCGATCCAAATTCATCAAGGAGGCTGCGGCTTTTCATCAAGGACAACAGCCCAATAATGTTGATGATCCCAAATCAGAACCTGAAGAAGATGGGCCACGTCAATTCATCACACGTAAAAAAAATCTCACCATTGAAGAAGAAGTTGAGATGTACTTGTCTAGTGGGTGTGTCGACAAAAACGTTGATCCTTTAGAATTTTGGGGACTTCACGCGGCGGAATTTCCTACCCTTGCTCGAATGGCCTCAGCTTACTTGTCTATCCCTGCTACCTCTACACCCTCCGAACGATCATTTTCTGCTGGTGGGAGAGTATGGACAAATGATTGGGCTGCTGTTAATCCGTTGAATTTTGAGGCAGCAATTTGCCTCAAAAGTTGGGACAAGCTGTCCTTATTTCACACATTCAAAACAACTTAAAAAACTTAGTTTTATTTCTTTAAATGTATTGATTACAGATGAGTTTTCCTGAAAAACAAAATGAAAAACATGTTTTCTAAACCCTTGCTGAGACGTTTCTGGCCCGGGCCAGCCCGTCGACGGGCTGGAGTGCAAAGCACTCACGGGCCAAACCTCTTTTTGAGGCCTTTCGGGCTTGCCCCGGCCCGGCCCGCAAAATTGCGGGCCGGGTGCAGGCCTTAGCTGGCCCGAGCCAGGGCCTGCCCGACAGCATTCTTGAGGGTGTCGTGGCCGAGGCCGGCCCTGCAGCTGCAGGGCCGGGTCATACCCCTAGCATGAGTTGGTGTCTGATCTTGTGACATCTCTTACAAGACTTTCATGGGCTGTTACATGCGTCCTGAGATCATAGCAATTGCACCCACAATGACAAAACCACTCCCCTCAAAGAGTGATAGTGCTGCAGTTGCACAGTGGAAACCACCAGGGGATCTACTATATTTGCCAATATATATAGCGGATCCTGTACACCACCAACTAGAGGGGGGACTTCCCATAGTACCACAATCATGGCACAAACCAGCAGGCTAGGTATTCTCCACTATATAGCAGATGTTGTTTTTCCCAAATTCCAGTCTCTGTGTGTGCTTGATGTATAAATGTTTTGTTCTTTTTCTTTCTGTTGATTCTGTTTATTGTCTGATACAAATTCAACACAATTGAATGAATTGTTGGTGCTGGCCCATACCATAGCAAAACAGTGTTGTATACAGCAATAATTTAGTGGTTTCACCACCCCAAAACCCTGAGAGTAAAAGGATGATAAATAAATATTAATCCTGAGCAGACCAGGTGATCTGCAACACCACTTAAATAGGGCATGATTTGTGAAGCAAATTGGTGTTGCCTCAATGCAACACACATTACATACCCCATCAGACACCCATCCCATCTTGGCAATTGAAAGGGAGGTGGGTAACAATCCAGTATTTCAAAAAAGGCCTCACAAGTTCAAAATATTTTCCTACAACCAATTTGAATATTCAACACATAAAAGTATCACTTTGATTGGTCTTTTGCAAGCTGATAGATTGGAGTTGATTGGTTTTGATTTCAGATATCTTTCACTTAGCCTATCCCTGATCATTCTAAGTCTGCATCACACATTTTGTGATTATCTGACTCTATGGGAGATAGTCTTTGGTGGTTGTTTAGCTCATCAGGCTCAAAACTACATGTGAAACAGTTAGATTGAGTTTCTTAAGGATGGCAAAGAACAGTGGAGTTTCAGCTTTCCCTTCATCCCAAAGATTGGTCATCAAAACACCATGCAGGATATTAACATTGGTTCTTTTTCACCTACACATCAAATAACTTGAATATGATATGTTCAGGACATCCAATGTCAAGACTCACCAACTCCAGGGGCGGTTGGATTCCAGTTTACTGACTTTTGTAAGCCAGATTTGACTTTAGGAATGTACTTGAGGTGTTGAATAGTGGTAGGTGGGTGTTGGGATTTGTTGTGGATTTTAAGACCAAAGGAGCCACCGAGGTTCACTCAGCAACTGGGCAGACTAGAGCAAAACCATCTGTGGGTGTGTCCACTCCATAATTGGTCCTCACTAGTTTGCTAGTAAGGCATGCAACTTGCACTGCAACTACCTTGTGAGGTGCTGCACACCATTGCTCCAGCAACACATCAAACATTTGGTGCACTTATGTAACAGTATGCAATGTTTTTTTGGACACTCCATCCCACTGCTGTACAACCCAGTCCGGTATGCAGACCCAGTGAGGTATCTCCCACACTTGATAAGCCTTTGGGAGATAGGCAAGTGCAAAGATCACAAATCCTCCCAGCCTGATAGCAGGCACTGGGAACCCCGGAGCTGATACACATTGACAATGTTGTGGGCTGACCTGATGTATGACCCAATAGTTAGAAGTTGCCAGTTTTCTTGGCTATGAGTTAATCAGAACATCATGCGTCAAAAATGACCAACCAAAGAGGATAAAGTTCTCAATGGTGGATTTTGCAATTGATTGGCAGAGAAACGATGTCGAAAATGAAGAGAAAAAGGAAGGTAAAACAATTGAACGGAAAACTAATGTAATGTTCTATGATAAGAAGAGATAATGAATTTACAAAAATACTGGTTGATAATGCCTCAACATGAATAATGACTTCGCAGGGAAACTATGTATACAGAGCAAGGGAAAGTGAAATATTCAGAGTGCACACATGGTCATAGAACCTGTGTCAGGTCTCAGCTCCAAAGCCTATTCAAACGTACTAACTGAACTGACATTCATGTTCTGATTGGTATATAAGTTATGAGGCGCCGATAATTTCGATTGATGAACTTGTTGATAAGGAGTGATGATGAAAGATGCTAATTATCCTGATTTCGATAGTTGAAAGGAAGTGGAGGTACTGGAGCGGGATGATTGGTTTCGGTTGGCCTGCGGGACGATAAGGGTCCATCGCTCTTTCGCCGGAAGCGCCATGATTCTGCGGAGTCCTTCCTTTGGCCGGATTGATCGCCTTTTGCACCTCTGTCTTCGCCGGGAAATGGCAAAATGGTCGCCTGGCTTCCTGAACTACTCATCATTGAGACCGATCGAGATCGAAGGTCTTCCGGCGATAGATGAGACACCTGATTTGGCTGAGATTTGACTGCTTCAGGTTCATACAAATGGTGACTACTCTGTAAACAAGAAAAGCGTTGTAAATAGGTCAGTGAGCATGCTGATTGGCCAAAGCCCATACACTGCTTTCATTCATCAGGTACCGCCGAAAACTTACGTCTGTAACCGGTTTATTGTAGACTTCAGCACCAGTGATTGAGGTGGACTCTTCGAGTTCGTGGATAGTTAACGGGCGTGGTGGGTCGTCCCAAGGATCACGTCGATTGTGACTTGAGCCAGGTGCCGATATGAATCCCAGCCGCGGAAGTCGTAAACGTGAACGAGAGTCAGATGTTTCGGAAGATTTGGGAGACCCATGTCCAATGGGTTCATTTGTTGTTTTTAGATCTTCGAGAGACAATGATCTTGTAGGCGTGTTGTAGGTGTTACCCATTTCCGATCTTTCAAACTTACCGGAGGCTGACATGAGACTGCGGTCGGATCCTTGCAAGACGCGCGAGCCTGCAATATCATCATCGCGTATTGCCTTGGCACCGCGGTGCGGACTAGTATCAGTTTGCGTTTGCGATCTTAAATCGCTGTGTGAAGTACCGAAAATTCCACGCTTTTTCAGCTTGAAGCCGGATGTTACTTTCTTGCCCATGAACTTTGGCACCGACTTGTTTTTACGAGCCGTGGTGATGATCTGCCCGAGGATTGATGGCGATTGTTTGAACAGTGAAGAAACACAAGTCTTCCGTATTTCATCAAAAAACTCGCTGTAGGACCATGTACGAGATTCAAAATGGAATGGGGGTACTTTAACTACCAGATCGAAGATATCAGGATATTTCGGGCCCTATAGATTCAGCCAAACAAGGAAGATAAAAATCAGGGAGTCTGTCAAGATCTGAGTAAGAGGCCCAAGGCCTGTCTAAGTTTCACTTACACTATAAGATACACATATGGTCGTCGGTGCCACATCAATGAAAGCAAAGGATTTATACAACCTAGCACGTTTCTTCATTTCTGCAGCATCCTCATTTTTGTGCTTATTCCAATGCAGTAACGTATCAGATGCAGCCCCCAACGCCGGGCTCGATCGGCGCCCATCTGAAGAAACGCTGATGATAGAGGGAGCACGGGTGCTACGAGAGCTGTTCGCACTACTAGACAGAGCCTGCACAGGCCCGGAGAGTGCAGACCTCCAGTCAGGCTTGAGATGCATCGTGGTTTCTCCAGGTCGACCGCGTGGACGAGTGGAGAGATCGTGAGGCAGGTCTTGCGAATGTACTGAGGATATCAATACACTTCGCCTGTCGTCGGACTGGACTTCACCAAACTGGGAGCGCTGGTTGTAGGCTTGACCTTGAGATGTTGATCGGGATCTCGGTAACAATGGTCTCAAATCACCGTGGCCAGACCGGCCAGACCTATGCAACTCGCCTGATTGAGGTTCGACGGTGTCGCGCTCAAGAACATCCCCTGGCAGAGGTTTGCGTGCAAACAAATACTCATGCATTTTGACCCCGATTGCATGTTCGATTTGCAATCGAATTGGATGGACGTCCAGCAGAAAAGATTCCACAATCGATATCCCACCAACTGGAGGGAGAGTCTTCCAAACAGCTGTTAAAAACTTCTTTGGCTGACCATCGAAGTGTCCAATGGACTCGTACCGCGATAAGATCTCATCAAACGTTCGATTTTGGTCCGCACTTATGTTGAGTGCCAACATATCTTGAACGTATAGCCGATTAGTGACAGAGGTATCCGGGAGAGAACACCAATCAAAGTTTGTGTCAGTGATGGATAGCTTCGCAATCGATTCACCGTTTTCAGCGATCATGTGCCACGTGATGACTTTGGCATGTGCTTGAAGTTGCACTCCGGCCTGGTTTTCCTTTGCGGATCTTCCCCGCCGACTTTCTTGCGAACGACGAATCGCTTCTATCATAAGGTTGAGATCTGAGCCGTTCGCCCAAAGATTGAATTCCCTTCGAGTTAATTCGAACATTCGACTATCGTCTAGTGCAGTCAGATGTGCATATTCTTCCACTATCCGTCTTCTGTCCAAGCGGATTCGTGATTGCTGTTCTTGTATCTGCTCCGCCATTCCACTCAAATCATCCACATCATACGCATACTGCATTGTCTCCAACGCGGCATTGCGCTTCTTTTGAGCTGGGTCGGTATAAAGACACAGATCGGTGACCACATTGTAGATTGCTCTGTAATGAAGAGCAGTGGCGTGCACTGAGAGTGCGTCGTCTACCTCGACTCGAAGTAGATTGGTCGATGTTTGAAGGTGAGGTTGACTTGCGCACGAAAAGCTGGAATTGGCACCTGCAGATCGACGTTTGATCCTGAGTTGATTGAAAGTATCATATGCCATGTCAACTGTACAACGTGCTATTAAGCGATCAAAACCCCAAGGTTCTAATCGGAGATCGACTAAGACTTCCACCGGGACCAGCGATTGATGAGCAAGTGATTTCCCAGCACCTGAAACTCTTATAGAAGGCATCAGGGGCGCATGTGAAGGATAGTAGACTTGAAAACCACGGATTGTGCTGAAGTTTCTTCTCATCACTTTTGCATTGACTGGATCGTCAAGGTGTGCTGAATCCAAAACTTCATAACTCTTTAATTGAACTTGTAAGGCAGTCAAGATCACAGTCGACATGTCATCGACTTCACTCTTGAACGCGATTTGAGGTCTCATCAGAAGCACGAGGTCAGCGAAGTCGACCATAAAATCATCAGGAATATCTTGTTCAGCTTGCTCATCTGTGCTGAACTCTGAACTCATTGTAGGTGCTGAACTTTGACGATGGAACTGAGGGCGGGTGCTGAAGTCTGTTTTGTGCGCAGAACTCGATTTGGGGTTCAAATTCCGAAAGTCACCACTACGTATCCGAGATTTTCGCTTCGATGGTTCCTGCTTCATCTTACTTGAGCCAGGGGTTTTATCCGCCAACTCCAGAATGAATTTCACAGCTCTGGCTGAGATCTGTTCAATCATCAGAGGAAAAACCCATGCGATCAGCTCAATATCACAAGAAGAAACTTTGGATCTGGACATACGTGATACATAAACCCTCTTCTTTGGGATGAACTGTAATAATACTTTAGTAAAACGTCGCGCGTTGAATTCGAAATCAAGATAGATGGATTGTGAACTAATAGCCTATTAGACCACATACTACTCTCATCGCCGACTTGTCTGGCAACTTCACTCAAGAATTTTTCTTCCTCAGCCCAATATACCGAAGGGATGTTGAAGTCCTTACGATCTTCATGTGAGGTGGACGACACATGGATGCCCCCACGGTCCTTATTTCCTATGACAGAGTCCCTGACTTCCAGCATTCTAGCTCGGAGTTCCTTGACTGTTTCCATACGGACGCCAATCTCTTGTCTCTTAACTGTATCAGATGACGACTATCGCAGTACCAAAGAACGCAGAGGAGAATTTCAATATAAGAATGCACAAAGACGATTGTTGGGTGATGACTTACTGTCACTGGAACTCTAGTAGAGAGTTTAGCGTCATACCAGCTTTTCTCGCGTTCGAGCTCTTTCAATCTCAAATCCAGTAAGCCTACTTGGACAGATAGCGGGTCTAAACGCACAGCAGACATAGATGCACTCAGATTATCTATTGCAGATCAACGGAAGAGACATGTGACGTACCTGGAGCTTTCCCAATGAGGCAGGTATGAGTACCTTCTTCACCAAATTTGGTCTTCTCGATCGGTTGACCGTCGATACTATCTTCAAGATCAGACGTGTTTCCGCTACCGCCTGTGTGAGAAAGCGTCGAATGGGTGACAGAAGATGGTCGACGAAGATAGCTGATCCTTGGACATGAGACGACGTCCAAGACTTTGACATGAGGATGTTCACCAAGATTATGTTGAGGCCAAAAGAGGATATCATAATAATCATCCATGTCAATCCATTCTGAATTCCTATCATTGTGTCCTTCACGCCCCACCGAGGAAGCTCGCCGGGTTGGATCCGAGCTGTCCACAAAGTAATCATCCTTATCCCTGCCCTCATCCAAAACAGAGATCGTCTCTGCCTCGTCGACATCCGTCGCCATGCCTAAGTCGGCAGCATAAGCCGCTTTCCTCATCGATTCAAAGACTGCCGAGATCGCTCGAATGTCGACATTTTGGCAATCAATTTCCGCCCTGTAAAATGCTTTACGGATAATCTTCTGCGGTTGTTTCATTGCGGGTGAGCGGATTGTGGTTTCAACAGCTCTAGTGTGCATATCCACATTGAAGCTCGAAATCTTGGCTTTGAAGCCTAGCACAACGCTTTGACCGTTCACCCAATCCGAAGCATTTTCATACCTGTATGTATGAGCGATGAAGAGTGGCGAGATGCTGAAACGATACTTGATCGTGGCCACATGTCGTCCGAATTTTTTAGAAGGAGATTGTGAGGAGGGAAATAACGCGCCCTGTCGGATTGGTAGAGAGAGTGCACTGTCAAATGTTCTCCACCATGACCAGAAGTGAGTGAAAGCTTCAGGTGCGAAATGTAAGGAGTTTTGGCCTGAAGGGCGTTTTGAAAAGTATTTATCATCGGTGGGTGATGTAAGTGAGATAGAAAAGTGAATGAAATCGGATCGAAAAGATTCGAATGAATCGCGTCGCTATAGAATAGGATATGTGTGTCAGTTGAGTCCCACAATTCGCATGACAATAACATCTAAGCACTAACCTCGCCAGCAGGAGTGACAACAAACTGCGGAATTTTAGTGACCACTTGATAGTGTGGCTTGAATGTAAAGATACGACACTTGCGATGAAACGTCGTTCCAACACATCCACATGTCTTGTTGTCATGATCGCCGCAAGCCCTTTCCAAAACAATCCCCATTCCCCACCTGACTCCGTTAGTGAGCTTGCCCACAATTTTCAAAAATTCTGTCTTTCTTGACCGAACTGCGTCAGAATCGCTTTCGTCGTCTGAATCTGATACGCCAGAAGCCTGACGATAACGTCGCTTGTAACTATCTGCAGAGGTAGCAGTCAGCAACGGGGCCGTACCACTAGCAGCATTGTCTATAAGGTCTTTTAAGTTAGGGATTCCCAATATACACTGATCACTCTTGATCTGCAAAAACTCTTGATCTTCGTTGTCATGTCCGAGCAAGAATTTCACATTTCCTCGCCATACCTTCGCAAATCCAGCACCGTTTCCGAGCAATTCGTAAGGATCTCGGGAACCTTTCAGATGTAAGACCACGTCTGTCTTACTTCCGATGAAGTTTATCTCCACGATCCAGTGAAGCACTAATCTTACTTTGTCCCAAAAGCCAAGCCGGTCTGAGGGGTCTACGGGTGCTTTACTGAAGGTATCAAGCACACGAAGCATATCTTGGATTGCAGGTTGCATTGAATTACCCCAACCCAATCTCACCGGAGCCCATGATCTGACTTTGACCACTGGATTGGCGTAACTCTTAACCGGCATGACAGTTCGCGGAACCTCAATTGAGTAGATCTTGCCTTCGCTACAATATTTTCTAGGGACAATCAAGCTTGGGACAGTACGGACAGATTCGATTGTACACATCTCCTCCGCAATGACGAAGTCAGTGTCCAAATGCCAAGTGCACTGATCTGGTTGACGCTGATTGTGTTGCCCACCACTGGCTTGAGGTCGAGGGATCGATAATAGATAGAGAGGGAAATCGCGGAGTCGGATAGATGCGCCTTCCATATGCCAGCTAAGATGAAAAGGAACAATCAAAGAAAACTTTGTGTCTCTTGGAAGACCTTTTCCCACTCGGTTCAGATAGTCCATCAACCCATTCTCTTCCTGTTCACAGTCGGCTTTGTATAACGCAATTTCTATAAAGTTGAACACTACCCGAACTAGAGGACTGGCCTTGAGTGGTGGCAGCATTTCAATTGGGAACTTGTCATGAATCTTATGACTCGCATGTCCATACAGTTGTCGCTGAATACCATCTTCTTGTCGCTCTTGTTCCGCAATTGCGTTCCTGATACGTTTGATCCATGTTGCCGCGTTATACTCCTGTAGGCGACGAGCTGCTTCTTCAATCGAAACCTGAGTCCCGGTCTCAGGTTGGCTTGAATAAGATGAGTCTAACGACTGTCGGTTAAATCCATCTTCTTCACTGAGGTTGCCACTACCGGCATCAGATTTTGGATGTGTCTCGCTGTCTCGTCGGAAATGATGAACCGGGTATGTATACGCAGCACCCAATTTGATATCCTTGGCTTTGTTCTCAAAACTATCATCCCTTGCTAAACGTTCCTTGACCTCTTCTTTACCGGCTCGGCGAATGGCATTTAATTTGTTTTCAAAAGGATCGTCCTCGGCTTGCAGAACTACGATCCGAAACTTTATCTGGATCTCTGGTAGACGTTTCGGAGTCTCAATCACAGGCTGCAACACTGAGCTATAGCTGCCTTTGATGAACTGGTGTGTGAGCTGCTTGGTGGTCTTGACGATGGTGGAGATGCTCTCGATCACCTCAGCGATGACGAACTTGAATGGCAGTCGAAGTCTTGCTGCATCTCCCTCAATCAGAACAATGAAAGGATGCCAACCTCTATTGACTTTGCCTGCTGCTAGATTGGATGGGGCTTGGGGATCCGTATCTACAATCTTGATCTTGCATGTCTTGATTCTCAATATATCATCCCATAGATGAGGGCTTGTCACATTTCGCCCGGCAGCCAGTAATGTATCCCATTTAACATCAATGCCGAATTTTTGAGACCTTTGAAAAGATAAGCGGCGCAATTCGATGAATAGGGGTACCTGTGGAGACAAGAGCATATGCAGGTGAATGGCTTGGATCTCCGCTCGAATGCCAATATGAAGGGTCCGACGATTTTTGACGACTTTGGGCTCATGTTCAGGTGAAGGTATTGTACCGGCTTTCATCAGGCCGATCAAGGCGGAAGTACTTAAAAGACAACAGTAGATGTGAAAGGCATTGACATGTAACTTGATTGTCCGAGTATCCAAAGCCAATATGAGCTCGTCCTGTCCTGCTCCAGTTGGCTTTTTTGGACTTTGTAGAGTGATTCGACAGGACAGCCGCTCGCACAAGAAGACATCAGAGCTGAATTCATCCTTAGTCGCCTCGTCATTGTCATGCTCGCTTTCTACATCAGGAGGTAAGTTGCAAAACGATCTTTTTAAGTTAGGCAGTCTGCTCTTGAGTTCCCACAACAACGGCGACTGATATCGGTCCTTTTCTAATTTCTCTTGTCTTTGAAACTGTATACCCAGAGCTTCATTTACATCTGGGATAGACACAATCTTCAAAGACTCTACATCACATTTGAGTAGACAGGTGTCGTATTCCGGATTCTGCAAGAGCTTCGAGTTTGACTGCAGTCGAATGTCTTCTTTGAGGTCTAATCGCAGTCGATTAGGAAAACTATACAGCCCTGGAAGGGCGCTTGACTGTCGAATGAATTCGAAAATAAACGCCTTGGTCTCTAATCTAGTTCCTCGTGCAATGTTGGGGTCACACTTGGAATCGAAACTAGCGGTTCTGATGCTCATTGTAGAAATGCTTAAAGCAAAGGCAATATCCAATGGAAATAGAGAAGTACGAGGAGGTGATGATCGAGGTAACACAGCGTGTGATGAAGCTTTGTGAGAACTGATCGAATTTATCACCCGGGAAAGGTGAGCAAGACATGACATCAGATTTGGCGGCCACAGGTCAAGATTCATATCACCGATCGTGGCTTGCATAGTGCCTTCCCGAGACCTCAGATCGATTACAGGACAGAGATCGGGTTGCGTTCTGAGCAACCGTCGTACAAGGCTTCAATCAGTCATTGTGAACCTTTTTTCAAAGAAATCGGAGAGTACTCACTGATCATCCCATCCCGCCAAGTTCACGCTTGTGACCAGTTCGATTGAGGTCGTACTCATGAGCTCATGTTGCGCTATTGTACTAGTACCACGCAAAGGATCAAAAACGCCGAGAGGACCAAAGCCCACGGAGGAGTTCATGGTAGATGTGTTGCTGGAGAAGACCACGTCAATGGAGCTCGTGATTAATGTGGCTGTACATTGATAAACAAAATCGATCGAATCTGCTTCGCGGAAAATCTCGAGTCTAGACTTCCAGGGCGGAACTGCACCTGTTGGAATCGGCAAAGGATAGGCTTGCGTGTATAAGCCGGTCTTATTCTTGGCAGCGTCCCCCTCAAGCTCTTCTCCGTCTGGGTTTGTAGATATGCCCTCAGGATGACTAAAACGCTTATCGTCATGAATAGCGTCAGTATGACCTTTACTGATGCTGACATTCCGCAACGATATCGGAATAAAAATCTTGTTGGCTCTGGCGTGTTTCATTGCTTCACGTTTCTGGTGCTCGTTCTGCTTTACACATAGATCGACATATTCCCCTGTGGTTGTGAAATGCAGAGCTGAGCATCCAAGTGTAAGCGTATCTGAGCTTCTCCAAACATTGGCCTCTGTATGGGTAATGTCGTTTGCTGAACCAGGACCAAATGCAACAGGACCAGGAACGGATGGACCATATAGATTGAATGAAAACGACTGCAAAGATATTATGGTTGCAAGCCTGGGCAGATCTGATATGAAACTGTTGTGTGAGAGAGCCGGATGCACAGGTATGGAGCCAGGACTACCGTGTTTGACATTGGATTGTGTATGAGATTGCCGTAATGAAATGTTAGAATTGAGCTGATTCACAAGAGATACATCATCTATGGATATCTGCCCTTCGATCCTGCCTATCTCAACTTCCACGACCAACATATGAGCGTTGTGATCTCCGGTAAAGTTGACGTAGCGAGTGGAAGACAACGTTTTGTGTTTGGTTGAAAGCTTTTCGCGCAGAGACTTAGGCAACCAAGAGGAGCTAAGAGTGCAATAAGTTTCTGATATGTGAAGAAGTGGAACCCGTGCTCTCTGAGATGTACGAAAATCAAAATCTATAAACGCAAGGAAGAGAATTCAATATGAGTACGTGTTTGCTTAGTGATGAGAACGTAGGCGAGAAATTTATTTTGAGATAAAAGGTCAGGCAAGCTTGGCTCAACTTGTGTCTGAAGTGCGATCTCCCAAGGATTTCATACCACTCGGCAATAATTCAGCCCGTAGGGTCACCTCCTTCCATTGTGCATGAAACCGCAGAAGGATCGAATTTTCGGAACCGAACCATTCGGTGTGAGTTTTTCGCGTGTTCTGTCGCGCAGTTTTATCTTCACTCAAGTCTATGTTGAGAGCTAGGCCTTGGATTCGAAGATGGCTCAACATATTTGAGGGCTGTATCCTCGCAGATTCTGCTGATGTCCCAGAATGAGACGAAGAGAAAGGCGCAGAGGGAGATTCCGGGCATGAGGTTGATTCAGCACCTGTGGTCGAAAGTGAAAATGCGGAAAGATAGGTGCAGGTGATACAGGGAAGTTCGATTTCGAAGCAGCGAAAGATTGACAAAGGGGATAGGCGGGTCGAATCATGATCACGTTCTGCGAAGTCATTCGCAACAAAGCCGGGAGAAGATGTTCTAGTAGTGTAAGGAAGTGATGTGGGGGCAGGTTCAGATAGTAAGCCATCTTGAGGTTTGGATTGCATACGTAGAGGGATTGAGTGGGCTATATGTAGAGCATTATGAAGAACAAGTAGGATTCCAGAGACTGTCTGCTTCTCCTGATACGATCGATCTGCACTTGTCGTCAGTCTTACGTTTGACCTAGCCATGTCGAAGAACTTGATATGGAAATCCACAGAATGAGGTCTGACGAAACGGGTTTTGCGATCCATCACGGGCGCCGCGTGGTCCTCATAAGACTGTTCACCAGGAATGGGCCTCCTGAAAGCTTTGTGAGAGGGCATCAATACACTAGCGAGACCGATTACTGGATCTAGACTGGCTCCGGCGGATAATTCGACGCAGCCCGGTAGATTAAAAGCTAAGGAAGAATTCACCGGGGGCGCCGGACGAGCGTCATCGAGCGGAGAACTATTATCGCTACCTTGAGTTGTCAGTCCCTCGTCAGGTTCTTTCCACCTATGGACTTGGACATTTTTGAGGGTCAACCAAGCGCATACCTGACCATGTTCTCCTCTCAGAAGTTCAAAGCCGACTTTCAGACTGCAGGTAATGTCACAAATTTGATCCACCTGAATGTGAATATCATTGATCTCGAGTCCGAAAATGCTGACAAGCCAGGAAAGATGACGTCCAAGCTGATTCAATCGACTAAGTGTCGGTTTGACCACTTTCATACGTAAAAATTTCCAACATTTGAACAAAAATCTGAGACGCGAGTTCGAAGGTTGGGATGACAAATGCTGGGTGACTATTTCTATCAAATTAAAGACATTCGCGACGATTATCTTCAGTAGATTCAGAGCTTTTGCACTGTTACTAGGCTCGGAGTGAGCATGAGGACTCGCTTTGAAGCTGGAAACTGAGCTTCTGCGATCTTGATCGTCAGTCGACTCCGTATTTACGGACGCTGTCTCATCGGTGGCGGATCCGGTGGCGTGAGGATCTGAGGAGGACTCCAGGTGTGCTTTCGGGATTCGAATGTTGACATCGCTAATGCGCAAGGCGATCCATTGACGTCTAAGACCTTCGGGTTTTCCAAATCGAAAAGCCAAACATCCTAACCTGACCCTGGTCCTTTCGCCAATCCCGATTTCTTCCAATTTGCTTTTCAATTCACTCTTCATCACCATACCTTTCCCCTTGACCCATACCCGATGACCCCGCCATTCAACATCATTGAGACTAAACAATCCAATATTTCCAATCTTAAAGCCTGTGGCATATTTCCTGATGAGTCGCGGTACTAAGACACATGCGATGCTGACGTTGATTACACAGAGTGTCGCAAGGACGGTGAAAAATCTGGAGGGGCCGAAATATTGATAGAAGGAACGCGGTTCTCGAGCGGCCGGTGTGCTTTGACTTTGAGACGACATTGATACTATAACTTGGGCAAAGGGCCGATCTGACTACAGGTAAAAGACCTGGACCATTCGTGGATCCTGGCTATTGTTATGGTACACCTGAGATTCAGAAGATCAAACAGTCAGAGAGTCAGTAAGTGGGTGAATCAATTGCGAATAACACAGCACGCAACGTATTACCACTGGCACCATCAAGTCTTTGGGTAGACCCCTAGACCAATAAAAGTCCACCTTTGTGTAAGTCGAGTGAATTCGTTGGGGTTTATAAAATTGTTGAAGTCTTGAACCACTTCGCGTATCTTGCCTGTTGACCCTCGAATGTTATCTTATCTGTACTTGTGGATTGATCTTGATTCTTTGAGATCGATCAAGTATGACAGAGTCTGACATAGCGGTGCGGGTCGTGCACCCCGCTAATACGCATTTCGCATTACTCGTGCACTCGGGCCTCCTACCGTAGGATCCCCGGATTTTATTGAAGCCTTGAGGGAAACTTGAAAAGTCAGCTGGAAAAAGTCATCGAATCTACATACTGCAAAGTCGACTCAACCCGCTGGACATCTATAATGCTCAATCCTCGTACCTTCTTCGACTTCTCAATTCATCAAGGGGAGCCTAGGCGGGTGATCTTCGAACTCTTCAAAGATGTCGTACCCAAAACCGTTGAGAAGTCAGTTTTGCAAATCAAATAAATCGACCAATGGGATCTGACTATCAACATATACCTGATTTTACGAACCCCTAGCTTCCGTGCATTGTGTACAGGTGAACGAGGGATGAGCACACAAAATCCAGAAACGCCTCTATGGTTCAAAGTGCGGATCGCTGGCACTGCAAGTCGAACAAGTCTACCTTTCTGACTAGGCGCACGCACACATTCATGTAGGATTCAGTCATTCATCGGATAGTCCCAGGATTTATGATCCAAGGAGGTGATTTTATACAACATAACGGGAAATCGGGTGGGTATTCGGAGATGAAGCAATTTGGAAAGAGCAACAAAGTACTCAGCAAAGATAAGGACTGACTCAAATCATTTGTGTTAGGGGAATCCATCTATGGGGGGGAATTTGAGGACGAGAACTTTGACTTGAAATGTGACCGTGAAGGGCGAGTGATCTTTTCCCATGAATGCTATCAGTGACGGAGTAGAGCGCTAACCTATTCAAGATATCTGTGCGTTATATCTTTTGCAGGCTACTCGTAATGGCTAACAAAGGACCCAACACAAACCAGTCACAATGGTTCATCACACTCCGCCCGGTAGAGCATCTCAATGACAAGCATGTGGTTTTCGGACGCGTTCAGTCTGGATTTGATGTGATCGAAAGTATCGCAACAGTGGAAACAGATCCCAAAAAACATCGGCCACTTGGGGGCTATGACGTTGTCAAAATCGTACACTGTGGTGAGCTCGAACTCAAGAAAAAGATACAGCAGCCTACAGAAGAGCGAGGGCGCCAGAAAAGTCAGTCAGTGTGAGATCTACTCCACATATTACGACGTTGAAAGGTCGAAAGATCTTCATACATAGGCCTTGATTGACCTGAAATGTGCTATGTTTTTTAGAACGCTCAAGTTCCCGTGCTGATTCACGCTCCATCTCATCACACTCGCGTGTTTCTGAGTCTTCACGATCAACGGCATCGTCTGAATCCTCAGGAGCTGCCCGTAAAAGGCGTCGGCGCGAACGTAAGGAGACCAAGAAGGCCAAAAAGTCGAAGCGCTTGAAACTTAAGGATGCTCCCCGTCGATCACCACCAGAGGTCGGCCCTACGGAGGAGGAACTAAGACTTCAACGGATTGAGGATGAACATCGAGCAGCTGAAGAGGCTCAAAAAGCGGAAGAAACAGCAAGGCGACTAGCCGAAGAACGCCAGCGGAAGCAGCGCGCACTGGAAGCTTTAAAGCAAAGCAATACTCGCAAGGAAGGCGGGGTTGTATTCAAGGGCGAGTTTCATATCTTTGAACGGCCAAGATATTCTAGCTAACATTGCACCGTGACCTATAGGGAGAGGGGCCATGAGATACAAGGATAAGGATGCTGGCCTAGGGACCAGAGCATGGAAAGACTAGACAAACACTACAAGCATATTATCTGGTATCGTGAGCGAGAAGCTTGTCTGCCGCTGTTTGTAGTGTGCAGTGCATCAGCGCTCTGACAAGCATGCTGTTGTATCAAGACTTATATTTCAAACCTTGAAAGAGTCTTATACTTGCGCTATCTGCACTTGCTCGTAGTTGGCCTTCCAGATTGACATGCAACAGGTATTTACTCAATAAGCACTTTAATCATATCATGATAAAATAAAATCTATCCCGTGAAAGACAAGAAAAAGGTGACGTCAATATGCATACATTACAAATTATATATTCAGGTCTCAAGTCAAACATGTAATTAGTAGAATGGAAGTCTTATACAACACAAAGATTAGAAAAAGTGCGATCCTAGAAAGTTGATATGTAAGCCACTCAAAAGCAAAGAAACAGAGAAAAATGATTTGATTAGGATTCTGTATCCTTGTCTTGCGATTTTGTTGGTTGTCCCATCATTCGAAACTGATGAAGATTAGATTGTGCAAGACTTCGGTTCGGAAGCAGAGGCAAATGGCCTGTAGGAAGATTATGGTTCGGTCTCATCATAGGCTGTGTAGCTCCCTCATGTAAACGTGGGTTGGTATTTTTGGATCGCTGAGGGATGGTTGAGGTAGGGCCTTGTCTGCTAGTGCTAGTTGGGTTTGTGGGTTGTTGAGTCTCAAATTGACGCATGTATGGGTCTGCAAGAGCCGAAAAACGACTGGCCAAAGCTGCTACGCTGCTTCCATGACTCGATGATTGTTCTACGATGGCAGTAGCGACCTGAGTTGGAATTTGAGTCGTTGATATTGGATCCAGATCTTTTGGTTTTTGTTTCGAATAAAGATATTTCATTTCTGATACCTTGCTTCTTGTACTACCGACACTCGCGATGCTAGACTGCCTGTCCAAGAACGAAGACGCATCTGATTCTCTTGAATTTGGTTCATCATTTTGTGTGATTTGATCACCGACAACAGCTGCCGAAGGATAATTAATACCTGCTTTATCTTGTGTAGAAAATTGTCTTGTTGGCATTGCGCTCGAAGAGGTTCTAGAAACTTGCTCTCCACACTCAGGAATACCCTCATAGTGTGGAATCTCGAGAAATTCCGAATGTGTTGGTGACTCTACATGATCGACAGATTCGGCAAAGTGTGAACCCATTGGCTTGCGGTCTATCAAACGAGATAGTTCAAGAGTGGCTCTATGAGATTCTATAGCTCGATTATTCGCCAGGATATTAGATAATTGTTCAGGTGTCATTCGGCTCAAAAAGTCGAATTTTGATAAATCTTCAGGATTCAAGATTCGAAGAAGCTGTGATGATATCTGATCTTGATTCGCAGAAGAGAATGCGTTGCCAACATTCAAATCATAGTCCTCTGGCCTGGGTGACATGCCGGATTGTGAGTTCCGAGAGTTTTTGCGAACCGCTAGGGGCGCAGTCGCATTTGAAGATACAGTAGCCAGACTAGCTTCACTCTTAGCTTGCGTATGAGAAGGTTCTTTCTGTATCAGTGCTTCTCGACTGGTTTGCTCGACCTGATGTTGAAGCTGAGGAGTGTAAAAATTCATGTTTGCGTGCTCCATGGGAGGACGGCTTGGTCCGAGAGAAGCCGAAAGGTGTGGTCCAGATGAGATTGACCCCGGATGTGGTCTTGGCCTCAGTGTCTTGGATGACGATCTCACTAAGCCAAGTCCTTGTGTAGTGTACGTCGAGGAGCTGAGGCTTTCAGGCGGAAACATTGCGGCTGGACTTGATTGTTTGAAAGCGGAAGTGCTACGAGGGTAATCGATGTTCTCCTTCATCTTCTCAATGTTATCTCCCTGGAGGCGTGAAGAGTCTGGGTGCAAGGATAGGCTTCGAACAGACATAGAATCCTCCTCCTGATGACCTACAGGAATCTTCTTAGGCATCCCATCGCTATTACAGAAGTTTGCCCACATGGTAAACCGACCGATTAGCATTCCGCAAGACTTTACTTCTTCACAGCTTCTTTTCCACTCAGTTTCGGCGAAATGAAAAAGACTTTTGCAAAATATACGGCATAGAGACTCCCGGCGGTAGTGCAGAACGCTGGAGTGAGCTGCCTTGGACTTGGTGACATCAAGGCCAAGGGAAGAGATGGAAGCATAATACCGGTCCGCTGCGACAGTACCATCCTGTGAGTCTGAATGTCCTCCTGACATCCCTATACCCTTCTTTGCTGGCTTTCTATGTTTATCAAAAGTATCTACGAATGATAAAAGATATGAGTTAAGCTAGAACTTCGCCACTTGTGAATGAGTAGAGAAGAATTACAGTTGGCTTTTTGAATCTTGCTCTCCAGTGCATCAAGATGTTCGTCGTGTGTGCGCTCCTCCTTGACTATTTTCTTGAACGCTTTTGTCACAACGTCTTGCAAGGTGTTATATTCTTTCTCCGTATTCTTGGCAGTTGTTTTGGTGACTTCATGGAAAGATCCAAAAAAGTTGGAGGCACACAGAAGAGTATTGACTGAAAGGCGAAAAGTCGCGTCAAAAGGAATGATGCGTTTCATATTGTAGTCAGCTCTTGGGAGCAGGAAGAGGGTGTGTGAGGAACTCACTTAACACATTGTCAGCAATCTCCTCTTTCGACAATGTATCCTCTGACAATACATGAGCGAGGTCTTTACAACCCTTCATGATCTTCTTTTGACATTTATTCAGGGCTTGTTGGAGGTTATTGAGCTGAGAGAGAGCCTCGAGCAAGCTCTCGATAGCCTTCATCGATTTAAGCATGCTTGATCGATCAATCGTGCCCGTACTTGGGATTGGCTGGAGATCTGAAGGTCCCTCATTTACAAAAGGGGTTGGTATTCCCTCGGTGCCAAAGGCGGGATTGGGTGACGTGGGTCTGGAACCTAAGGGCGTTCCGGCGCGAGAGTTGCCCTTCGATTGATTGGCTGGATAGTCGAAATAGCCGCTGCCGGAATCTTGCCCCGTGGAGGAAAGAAAAGAGGGTGAATTGACGCGTGATGATGGGGAAGGTGCGGAAAAATAGCTCGCAGGAGTCTCGTTGTGGTGTCCATTTCCTGGAAGTAGTCGTTTCAACATGATTATGTCTTGCAAGTACACCACCAGTCCGAGGTACGTTGTTTACGAAATAATAATTTATAGGGGAGATGACATGGAGAGGCCAGGCCAACAAAGCGCGCTGCCACTGCAATCACCGAAGCCAAAGGCGCGACGAAAAGCTCCAAAAAACGCGGTGGTTTGAATTTCGATCATCCTGAGTCATTATGCGCATCCGACATCACCGTTTAAACTTTATGTAATCTGAGACCTCGCCTTATGATAATAGAGGCCACGGTGCGAGGGTTTCAAGCATCGCACTAGCCTCTGGGCAAGCAATACGATTACAATTCGGTCCCTCTGGAGGAGATCGATTGCCACTGAGGACCGCATCACCTTCACTTCTTCGTCGTGATTGGCTCTGTATGCAAAGTATCGCGGTGCAGTCTCAGTGTGGAGTCCCAATCATCTACCTTGGAGCTCAAGATAGTAGGAGACATTTGTTTTACAAATAGTGATATGATGGCGTTGCTCACCGTCAAAGTGTTTAACACTGGAGAGTACTGTAGAATCAATGACACAAAACACCGCCTTTTGAGATAAGATGACAATTTACAACATGATAAAAGTGAGAAAAAGGTAAAAATGGTTTGAGTGAAGCAGAGATATTGATTTGCAAACTAAAGGCTTTGCTTTTGACCAAAGTGAACCAAATCAGGCGAATGTTCTAGCCTGTCTTTGATCTTTTGAACTTTATGAGAAGTACGTTGTACGAGATCTTCTTGAGTGAGATCGAGATTGGTTTGAACGCTCATTCCGGAAGAAGAGATGTTGAAGCCTTTTGCTTTCAAGGTATCCGCTTCAGCGCTTCATACATTTTTAAATGCCAATCGTTCAAGAAGTGGAGGCGATGCGAAACAGAAGATTCAGTCCCAAATTCAAGAATCTTTGGATATCGAGTTCAAGAGAGTCTAGGCCGACCGTAGAATCTTTTCCACCCTACGCCGTCCTACGATCCAGATTGTTACTATACTAATGAACAGTGTTCCAACGAAAATTGCTCTGAACAACCGACGTTTGATAGAAACGGAACAGATAAAGAAGCATCATCACGATCAATTCCAACTCAAATCGACTATGTGTTGAGATGAGCGTATGGTGCACTCATGGGTTAAACTTCACAATGGGAATACTTCGATCGAATTTGATGGAATTGGAGACATAACTGGTCAGAAACGACACTTACCCTAAAACGTCTGAAGTGTTGGCCATTGACTTGTATTGAGAAAAGTTGAGAGTGAAATTTGAGCTGTGGTCTGTGGTGTGTACTTGAGGATCGCTTGATGGATAAAATTTTGTCAACCTACAACAAATTTAGGATGATTGACAACTTGGTCATTACTCATCAATCACCTGCACGATCGACCGTCAGATGACGTGGGAGTCTAAGCTGACTGAAGGGGTGACAATGGGAAGTCACCTTCAGAGAGAATTTCTTGCTCAGAGTCATGATGGAAAACATTCCACATGGTTGAGTCACTTCAACTTTCACTGCTTTGGTATATGGTCTACATAGCAAGATCACAAATGGGCCCTCCCTGTCCCAATGACTGGGCAGGCTGGAATAGATTGTCTTTGTTGAGATTCTTCATTTCTGAGTAAGAAGTATACCACCTTTTGATAAGCACCAATTTCCACCCATAGTGATGTATATTTTAAGCAGCTTCAATCATCACATCATATTTCAATCTTTTAAGCCATTCTTGTAGCTTTTCAAAACCCTTAGAAATTTGGGTGAGATCTGGATCACAGCAAGATCTATATTTTGCCATGGGGTATACTGTAGCTCATTAGCACTAGAGTGAGAAAAGGCGAGCCTAGGTCTGTGCAGCTTTCAGAACAATCAGACAGCCCAAAATTCCCACAAAACTCAACCTACATAGAGTTTGATGCATTGATCAGAAGAACACATGTGTCCATGGGTGAAGCAAATTTGGGCTGAAGCTGGCTGTCCTGTTTGCCACACACATTAGGGGTCTGCAACTTTGGCAAAATTGTGTTTGGATTGCACTTGGACCATGTTCAAATTGTTCATTTAGTCAGTGCCAATTGCTTGAATTCAATCAGTGGATCAGGGCCTCTGTGCAGGTAACAATCAGAGGTCCACACTGAAATGAACAGAAGGCCCAAGAGAAATTGCCCCCAAAAGGGTAATCTTTAACCCATAATCATTATCACTCTGTCTGCTTGCTCACGTCATGGCTATCAAATCTTCTTTTCCCTTGTCTCTTTTTTCATATTTGTCAAATATCACCACCAACTTACCACACCATACATCACTCCATGTGCAAAGCTCACAAAGAAACTTGAAAGTCTCACAAACACACCCTTTGACTACTCCTTACTATACTCAAATGAATTATGCCAGTCCATCTTACACACAAACCAATCCTGATCAACCTACCAGTAGTTCCTTGGCTCACATTTATTGTCCAACATCCCATCAAGGAGGCAGTCCTTTCCACAATCAGTTACCTCAACAGCACAACTTAGCCCCAAATCACTTGTATTGCAGTAATTTACTGAACCCTCTTCCTTGGCCATATGACCCAACAACAGTCTCATTGCCCATTCTCATTGCTCAGTCTCACCCCTAGCAAGGGCTTATTGGGCAAGACAAAGCCTCTGCCTGCGGCCACTTCAAAGTCAACAGATGCTCTGTGTTTTGAAAAAAAAGATTTTCTGAACATTATCAAGTATCTCTCCACCCTCAGCACCTGCAACCTATTGTTTGCAGATGGGAAGAAGACTTCTGTCATGGGTCAGACTATGCAAACTGCTGTGGCTTGGAATGTGTTTGCAACTCATATCAATTATCTGTACAATGAAAACACAAGGCCTACAAACTTCAACTACATGGAGCTCAGTGGCAGTGATCTTTGACAACACTTTGAACAATATCAATGCCTCTATTGCCAAACTAAGGTAAAGTTTGGAATTGGAGGAACAGGCTCAGATACCTCAGACACAGATACAGCTTGTGGTATCAATACAGTATGCCAGAAACTCAAGAACTTGTGTCCATGTTATTATGCAATGGATGAAGTTTTTGACAGAACAGCTGATGTCACTGTGATGGACAAGTGGGACAGTGAAATTACAAATTCCAACTGAAATATGGAGTTGTGGACTTGTTCAACAACCACAACAAATGTATCACATGTGAGGACACAGATAATGCACAAGGTGGTTTTTTGACAAATGAAGTATTTTGCTGTTGTTCCCATCTTCCTGAAACCATCATTCATTCTATGGCACCAAAACCACAGAGACAAATGCTACCACTACCAACTCTGTTTGCTTGGTCTCCTGTAATTGCACTCCCATGTTTGCTAACCTTCTTGGCAATGGTAATCATTGATAATTGTTGGAATCAAGAGCCACATACAATCCTAGCATGATGATGTCTCAAGTTAGCCAATTGTGTTCTGCAACTTGAGGAATGTCAACTCTTGATGAGACTGACTAGTAAGAAACAGTGTCAGTCAGTGAAAAGCAAGCAAAATCGAGGTGACAAAGAAGAATGAAGGTGGACATTGACCAAAGCAGAATGTGAGTACACTGTAAACCTGTAAACATCATTCAGTTTCCCCAAGTGGGAAGGGGAAATAATTAAGAGTGTAGTTTATAATAAAAGGATCCATCACTTCACACCTGAGCCATAACACACAAACTACATATGTGCAGCAGGCTAAGTTAATAGTTGCCTTTCATGCACATACAGGTCCGTTCAGCTGTCTGCTCATCTACAGTTGCTCCAGTCTAGTCACGACCAGAGCCCGGCCCCGGGACCCAAATGATGGGGGGTCCCAGTAATACCCAAAAAAAATTTTGCAGGGGTTTTTTTTGGCAAAAGTTCTTTTTCTTCACTCTATCACTGCATACTTCACCCTTGTATTGTAAAAATACAAGTCTATGCTGTTCTGTACCCCAGGAGTTGTGATGAGAGGTGCTCCACCTACTTACTTAAGGTACATAAGTAACAGCTTAAGTGGCTACCTAAGGATTTAAATACTTAAGTAAGGTACTTAAGGACTGAATATTAGGTCCATTAGGTACCTAGACCCAAATGTTGGAGGTTTGTAAAAATAAAAAAAATTTGGCCAAGCAGATTGACTCACCAAGTCATTTCTGACACAAACACCCCCCTTAGAGCCCAAAAATGACTTTTTACACATGATTTGTAAGTAAGAGTTCAGTGTGTAAACTTGTGTGATCAAATTTCGATTTTGCAGAGCGAGTCTGGTCGTGACTAGACTGGAGCAACTGTAACTAAGTGTAAGGCTTCTAGAGAAGTCTTCACTGAATGTGGGAGATTGGCAGTTGGCACGGGAGCAGAGCTCCAAAACGTAATCAAAAAACCCCGCTATCTATTCCTGAATTCCTTAGAACTAGCTCCAGCCGAAATGTATCGGTCATTAGCCTCTACTACTAACTATGATAAGAGAAGAATTGAAAGATAAGACAAAATAAGAGAAATTGTGATGATCACTCACCTAGCTCCAGCCGAAATGTATCGGTGAAGAAGAATCTCTTCGTGGAGCTAGGGTGAAGTACAAGTAATGATGCCACCCTGTCATAACCCATGCTGTAATCCCATGTAATCCTTACATCCCTCCCTTCCTAAAAAAAACGCCTCTAAATTGTACTTAAAAGAGAAAACAGAG